GTTTAATCTTCCGCGTCTTGCACAAACGCCTTAAATTTAAGTTCAATAAGATCCATTCTTCTAATAATACAATACTTAGTGGAGAATCCACTTCCTATTTTACGATACCGTTTGTCCCTTCAATATCAGAACAATTCAAGAACATCATCAAAGATTTAAACGTTAAACTTTCTTATCGGAGTATGAACAAGTTGAACACATTTATTAAAGTGCACAAGGACTCTTGCCCTCAATCCGCCCGTTAAAATGTTGTCTATAAGATCAATTGCATAGATTGCGATGCTTCTTACGTGGGACACACTAAACGACAGTTACACACTCGCATTTCGGAGCATAAAAATCATATTCGAAGAAACACCAACAACCATTCCGTCATAACTGATCATAGAATAAATTTTAATCACGGATTTGATTGGGAAAAAATCACAATACTCGATAATGAACCCTACTTACACAAACGATTGATTTCAGAAATTTTACATATCAAACGACAAAAGAATAGTTTGAACTTGCAAACCGACACGGAATGCTTACCCGACATGTATTTTACAGTATTAGACAAACTTTCAAAGATTTAATATGTACATCTCAGTTACATTTTTATTTTATTACATTAATTATATCTTTAATTTATATGTTTAATTCGCTCGATTACTTTTATAATTTGAGATCGTCTTTTAGTCCAAATGGTTTGTTATATTTATAATAGCAATGTCGCACCGTTGACGATTGTGTACATTTATTGTTATTGGTTACTTTTGTTTTCTCCCGTCACCTTGCTATGCTCACGATCTATCATTATTACTTTGAAAATCGCTGAGCCCGGTTCTCCTAATTTCTACAATGTATATATTACATCTGACATCACTTTTGCGTGCGGAGCGTTGATTCTCTTTTCGTGAGTTGCATTTTTGTTAATTTAAGCTTCATTGTTACTCTTTCACACCATTCGCTTAATCTGTCTAACATTAAATTATATTCGTTTAGATTGACATGACCACAGATTTTTGGATAGTATATATCCTCGGAATGACTCTGTTCAAAACGACTGTAAGCACAGCCGAGCCACGCTCTCTAATATCCACAAAATTAGCGCGGGTAGAAAACGAGCTAATTTCTATCGTAGATTTCGGTTAGAAATTTGAAAGGCGTGCGACGTTCATATTTTTGCGGGAAAGTAGTCACCTTCAATACCTTCATAAATCGTTCGGCGATTATTATCTTGCCAAACCATACAACAAAACAGAGTTGCGCGAGACAAATTATAATAACAACGAAAGTCATCCACTGTGACACATCGGCAAAAATATCCAGAGTCTTGATCCAGAATTTTCTAGAAAACCGCGTAAATAAAATCGACGACGGCACGCAACCCGGCGCCAGACCGCTTTCGTACATCACGTCGAATTCATCTACGCACATCTCTTTTTCGCGGTCGAAGTTGCTTGCTTCGTAAAAAGTTTCAAACCTTGTATAAGTTCGCGAGTCTAATTGTGAGACAATCTTTGTATATAACTTTTCATTGTAAATATCTCTTGTGTAAATAGTGCATAATAATTGACAAATTAACAACTATATATGGACAAGTGCTTTATTTCGGGCAATTCTACACAACTATCGAGACGGCTATCAAACAGACTACTTCTTCTACAATACCACAATGATGTGAGAGATTACCGGTCTTTATTTTAATTAATTAATTAATTATTTTTCTTTCTGCGACCATTTATTATTTATTTTTTATTTTTTGTTTTTTTAATATCTGCGACAATGTTTTTACCTTTCCGATCATGTTACTAACCGACTAAGACCATACGACCGTTAACCTATGTTATAAGTTAATTCAATTTAATTTGTGCTGAAGATGGCCTAAAAAGAGGCTGAAGCGTCCTATCTATAATTGTAGAGAATTTCACATAATAAAACTTTTTGCGCTCCAATTACCGCGTTTGGCTCTGATTGCCATCTTCTTCGAATTTTAATTTTGATTTTAATCTAGAGAGCCTTTATTTGTATTTTTGTTTTTATTAAAATAAGTTTGCAGATAGTCCTTAAATATATATTTATGTTATAGATCAAAGATTACAATGTTCTCTTCATCGATAATCCTGTTGGTACTGGCTTTAGTAACGCTGAAAACATATCCGCATTCGCAACGACAAACGCTCAAATCGCGAGCGATCTTTTAGAATGCATTCGAGGATTCTACAAGCAATTACCGAAATTTAAGCCTGTTCCAACATATATCACCACTGAATCATATGGTGGAAAAATGGGCGCGGAATTTGCGCTTGTCTGGGATCGAGTAAGAAACACAAACATGCTAACTAAAAAAAAAATAAATAAAAGAATTATAGTTCCAAAGATTTTAAAGAAATATTGATTATTTTGAAGTCTTGAAAAGGGAAATAGTATAACTTAAAAAAGAAATTTTTATCAACTATATAAGATATCTTTAAAACAAACACACACACACACGCACACACACGCACACACGCACACACGCACACGCACGCACACGCACACACACACAAAATTTCTTTCTGAAACGCATTTTTGTATTATGAAAATAAAGAGATATTTAAAGTAATCATGGGACATTTTCTTTCTTTCTCTTTCTTTTTATAAGCCATAATATTTGTAAATTATGGTAATTGTCACAAATAATAGCATATCCAATAAAGCAATGTAATTTACTAAATAGGAATTTGCATTATATCTAACATAACGGAAACTTGTGTTCCTTAGGCTCAAAAGGCTGGCACTATTGAAAGTAATCTAAAGGGGGTTGCACTTGGGGACGCTTGGATTTCTCCTATCGACTCTACAATAACATGGGCGCCATATCTACTCAGCACGGTATTACACATTACCTTTTTTTAAAAAAAGTGGAAAAAAGGCGTCAAGTGCACGCGCACAAGCACCTTTTGCTATAAAAAAAACTCTTATACAAAATAGTGTTATTTCAATTTGTTGTGGAAAATTCTTTGTATCAGAATTTTTCACAACAAATTGAAATAACACTATTTTGTATAAGAGTTTTTTTATAGCGAAAGGCACTTGTGCGCGTGCACTTGGCGCTTTTTTTCCACTTTTTTTAAAAAAAGGTAACTTTTTAGCAATTATATCATTGTTTTTTTTTACTGTATGTTATATATTATCTTATTTCTGTTTACGTGCAATATCATTAAATGAATATATTTATTATATTTCTGAATTATAAAAGCAACCCTTTCATTTCTTTGATTGATAGTGTGTGTGTGTGTGTGTGTGTGTGTGTGTGTGTGTGTGTGTGTGTGTGTGTGTGTGTGTGTGTGTGTGTGTGTGTGTGTGTGTGTGTGTGTGTGTGTGTGTGTGTGTGTGTATGTTTTATACTTGATCCATTCGCAAGTATCACAAAGAATTTTGCAGCTTTACTGTTTTATAAATGAAAGCATACGCTATATAACACTGCACTCTGCATTCCAAACTTAACCTATACCTATACCTGTCAAAAGCAGGTATGGATGCGAGCAGTAACATCACGAAGTGCCGCTAGCGCTATCTTATGTCGAAGGCTCCAACCATAGACATAGTATATCTAGACCGAGTGTTGAGGAGTGGGAGCCGAGGTGCACGTAGAAAAGGACATACTCTGTTTCGTGCCCTTTGCGTTCTCTCTCACTCGCACGTAGCATGACGAAAGAGAGCGCTATGCTATGTGCGAGCGAGAGAGAACGCAAGGGGCACGAAACAGAGTATGTCCTTTTCTACGTGCATCTTTACCCCCGCTCCTTAAATAAAGGCAAACGCTCGGTCTAGATATACTATGTCTATGGCTCCAACCGTATAAGATTCGCGCATGCGCATTGGGGACTTGCGTGAATGAAGACGTGGACGTTTCTTAAAAGAAAATTTTCACATTGAGGCTTTCCATTCATATTACCTCCGTTCACGATACATGTAGAAAAAAGATAAAGGCTCTTCATAAGTTAATTCAGAAGCCAATTCTTCATGTATTTTTCTGAGATTATCTCCAAACTCATTAAAAATAAACCACAGATTTGAATTTTTTCTAATTATAGGGTTTATTTTAGTGTATTTATGATATAATCCAAGAATACTAATATTTTTATGCCTTCCTTCACAATAATATCTTATTATTTTACTTTGATCTTTCACCGTACAAGATTCGCGTATGCGCATTGGGGACTTGCGTGAATGATGACGACGTGGACGTTTCTTAAAAGAAAATTTTCACATTGAGGCTTTCCATTCATATTACCTCCGTTCACGATACATGTAGAAAAAAGATAAAGACACTTTTATTATATAATTTAAACCCAAGGTATCGATTAAGTCTATTAAAAATACGATCGGTTCAGCCGTTATTGAGGTCCAATAATCTAAGGTACTCTCAACTGGCCGACTCGCGTATAGATATCCGAGGTGCCTCGCTATTGCTGCGCGTGACTTAGCGCGAGACACTACCGTGTCTTTTGATTTAATAATTATTTATCGTCTTTGTTGCATCTGTACGCAATGCACTGATTTTATAACAGATCATATAAAATTAATCGATAAGTAATACTATTGAAAAAGAGAGATAAACACATGTGTCGATAATAAAATTTACTGGCTTGCTCTGCCATCCCCTTTTCACTGTCTCTTCATCGGCTCCCATTAGTCTTACGTAAAATTTTATTTTCTATAATTTATTCATTCTTATAAAATTCTTGAACATTTTCACAGGGTATGGTTGATACGGAAGGTTTTAAAGAAATTGATGCTGCGGCAAACGAGACAAGAGATAAAATAGAAACAGGCCAATGGCGAGAGGCAACTAACTATTGGGCTTATACGCAAACTATCGTTTTAGAAAAAACTTACAACGTTGACTTCTACAATATTTTGACAAAACAGAAATGGAACTATTATCATTCATCGCCACAGAATATATTGTCCTTTGATGGAGGTATATGATCATTTAACATAATAGATGATAATTAACGTAATAATCACGTATATATCATTTTTTTAAATAAATTGCAGACGCTATATATCGATATTTTATTCCACTTTGGTCTCAGTCACTTGATAGTTTGATGAATGGCCCAGTAAAAAAAGCGCTCGGTCTTAACGTCACTCATGGCATCCAATCTAGCACAGTTTTCGACTGCTTAACAGAAGATTTTATGAAGCCTGTTATTAATATAGGTATCAATCAAATATGAAATATCAGATATATGTATGTATTATTAAAACAAAAATACGATAAAAAAGTAGTGTAACTTAATGTCATCTTAATAATGTTATTGTCATTATTTTCTTGTGAAATGGATATAAAAGTTAAATAATTTGTAAGCTTTTGAAAAATTGTTGAATCAATTTTCATGAATTATATAAATTCATGAAGTAAGAAAAGGATAACTGATAAACACATATGTAAACTTAAAACTCTATCGTGATACATGCATTCCCATACATTTAGACGCATGTGTTTGCTTTAAACTGAATCTTTCGCGAGATGTCAAGATATATTATTTCTCGTATAATGTAATACACTAAGGCTTATATTTTTATAATACATTATAATCTACTCATGAAAAATGCACAAAAATATTCTGTTTTAGTGGAACAATTACTTAATGAAACTCACTTGAACATATTCGTATACAATGGACAATTGGACTTAATTGTCGATACACCGGGTAAGTTAATTTGTTTTTTTTTCTATGTGCTACAACACATAATGAACAACGCTAATATCGTTAATACAAATAAAATAATTTGTAAAAAAATTTTATGAAATAAATTAACATTAAAGCACATTATAGCAATATTAAATATAAATGATGAAAATATGGTGTGATGAATTAAAATATTTTAAGTAAAATCTAAAATAATATCAAGTATCTAGATATTTCTCAAATAGCCGAGTAAACAGAAATTATTGAATTATTAAATTCTTTCTTTCGCATTTTAACGTCTCAACAATTTTTTTAATAAAAAATTATTCAGGTTTTAAAAGATATTATTAATCCCTTAATTTGTTTAGAATTGATTTTGTAAGAAACCAAACCTCATATGAGAAAATTTTACTCTACTTTTTCAGCTTTTTTTCATATAGAATTACCATCTTTTTAATTGCATCGTCAATAATGAACCACTTTATATATCCTATGTTAACAATCTTAGTGACATTATTCACTAGGAATTATTATAGCATAATATTTTCTTACTGTTCTCGTATAATCCATGGTTACTTTATTATATTTTAGGCACCCTTCTTTGGGTCGAAAAACTAAAATGGAAAGGCGGTAACACCTGGAAAAGCTCGGTGAGGCAGCCGCTCGTCTCTGAAGAGATCATCGAGGGCTTTTTGAAAACTTATGATAAATTCTGGATGTACTGGGTGAACAGAGCCGGACATATGGTATGCATACTCTCACTTTCTCTCTTTCTATTCAACTTCCATATTTATTGTAATATCGCCGTAAGCGATCTTCAAGATTGATTTGTAACAAGTAAAATTCTAGAAACATGTTTTTTATATATTTAATGCCACTTCGTATTCACTCTTGTCACTTATGTAAAGTGGTTCATCATAGATTTTTACGTTATATATGTCCATTGTAATGTGTAGAAAATATAGTATAAGTAATTTGGTGCTGTTAAATAAGAGAGGCGTAAATTATTCATTAATAATTTGATTATTTTTATAATCTATATTATTATTTTAGTGCTGTTCGCATACAGCAACTAATTTTATTGTTCGCAAGGAGTGGTTTTCAGAATTGACGACGCGCAAGTGGAGTGACTAGATTTGTTTATTTAATTGCCAATCTACAATGTTCTACGTTCTTATGTTTGGTGGCCCTGAAAAGGGCCGTTTCGTTTGCCCTTACAAGAGCTGGTTATCGCTGTCTCTTTTCTCTCCACGCGATGGAAGGTGTGGTGCGAGTATGTTGCAGCGGTCCCCACTGCTCGTACCGTGCGATCTTCGGCGGCTTTTAACTCTCTGTGGACGAGGCCTTAGGTCGAGAGCTCGGTGCCGGTGAACTCGGCTTAAGGTCGTTGGTTGTCGCTGTCGATCGTGCGATAACTTCCGGATCTGTCTGCGTGCTGGAAACGCGCGTGGATGGTTCCCAGTCGATGTCAGATTGTGACGCCTGGTCGACTCCAGAAGGTGGCCCGGCCTGGACGCCGCGATGTACTCGACTCGGTGGTATCATCTGCGTCTCCCGTGTCACCGGACGTGTTGGTGAAGCTGGGAGCGGCGATAATAGAGGCGGTGTTGTCCAGGCTTCCCTGGGTGACGTGTAGCGTCTCAAGCGTATGTCCCACGTCTTGAGGAAGAACCGTGTGGGCCGCGTTAGTCGAGGCGGCTCCAAGTCTAGCGGGATTAGCTTCCACGGAAGTAGGCTCCGCCCTACGCGTTTCTCCTTTGGAAGCGGCTCCGGCGACTGTGGGCTCTTGGTTCCTCCTGTCTGCTTGTTGCCCGGTGATTTGGGCGGCGGTTTGGACCGTGGAAGGCTGCGCTGTGTATTTGCCTTCGGTGTCAGTCTCCTGTGGACAAATGCTTGGCGGCGGATTGTTCCGCTCTATACGTGTCTTTGCTTCGGGATGTACTCTCCGTCCGCTGAGCGACGATTCGCCGTCTAGGCCTACTGCGCGGCCTTATAAGCCCCACTCAACGGATCCCACTCACTGATAGCGCTCGCGATGGTCGCCGCGTCGCGGTGGGCTCTTGCGGCTCGTTTCGTTCCTGCGCGCGGGCTCCGCGCGCCCTGCACGTCAAAGTTCGTCGGCGCATATACCGGGTGGTCGTTTCGATCTTGTGGTGGTTCGTTGGACCGCCACAAAAGCATGTTTTTTTTTTGTTTTTTTTTTAAAGAAGAAACCGCCTGAGCAAAATAATTTTTTATTCCTTAAGTATGGAGTGCGCAAAGTTTTTATCAGATAATTGGATCGGTTTATTGTAAAACCTTGCAAAGGTTTGTGACATGGACGGACCATCCTGCTGTACGTCTAATTGTATCTATATCGACGCCTTTTCGGTGGGCTGCTGAAACTGCAGCATGTCTAGTACTATATGCGGAAAACTGATCTGTATTTATGCCTGACTTATTGAGTAGAGACTTGATTCAATGTGCAATTGTTTGCGCTGTTGCGTCACCATGCGGCTTCACGGTAGAAATCAATAATCTCTTATTATTATTCGATCTTAGGTCTTTAGTGTAATCTAAATATTCTATAACAACTGAGGCTGCACAGAGACTTGGTTTCTCTCTAAAAAACGGAAGAATTAATTCAGGTTGAAAATTACTTAGTTTTGAAGTTTTTATCAAGTCTGGTATTTTAATAGTAATACCAGTACTTGAAATCAAAATATTATCTGTCTTTATTAAAGCTAATGTTTGAAGTCTATGTGCGGTAGCTAATGCTAAAAGTGTCGCAGTCTTTTCTGCTACTTCTTTGGCCTTAAATTGGTTCAAAGGATTAATATTTTCTAAATAGTTAAGTACCGGTGCAGTGTCCCAGATGCTAGAGTACTTGGGTTTTGTAGGTTTTTGTTTGAAAATCCCTTTAAAAAACCGTGATATTAGAACATCACTAGAGATATCACGTAAGGAGATAAGAGAGATAGCCGATCTTGTTGAATTTAGTGTACCATAGCTAGCGCCTTCTTTGAATCTTTTTGTTAAAAAACTTATAATCGCGGGCGTATCTGCTTGAAACATATTAATGCTGTTTACCGATGCAAAGTCCCACCATAATTTTAGATGAGCTTGATATTGTTTGAGTGTCGAAACTGTTATGGAGTTAATCATAATATCCACTGAGTCTTCATTGATTCCTTTCTTCAGGAACGCCATCCGGATAAGTTCCCTACCACCAATGAAAGTTTTGACGCCAGCGGGTGTGACCATCGTCTACAGAGAGATAATAATAAGTTATCGTGTGGATCAAAAATTATAGGTGGAGCAGATAAGAGTGAAGCAAAGAATGGATACCAAGGCTGAGCTGGCCAGAAAAGAACGACCACTGTGCCCTCAGCCTTATCTGCAACTATTTTTTGTAGTGTTCTCGCGATGAGAGCGAAAGGTGGAAACGCATAGAGTTTTTCGTTTTTCCATGTAACTGTAAAAGCATCTACCACCTCTGCATCCGGTTGCGGATATCTAGAGTAAAAACGCTTACATTTTCTGTTCGATCTAGAAGCAAATAGGTCTATTGTAAATGGACCCCATTCTTTATTTAATTTTTTAAAAGCTTCAGGAGCTAATTCCCACTCAGTATCTATATTAGTTACTCTAGAAGCCGCATCCGCCTCCACGTTTTGTTTTGAGGGAATATACGATGCAAAGATCCAAATTTTTCGGCTTTTGCACCACTGCCAGATCTTTTTGGCTAACTCACTAAGGTGAGGAAATTGAACACCTCCTGTTCTATTTATGTAAGATATTGCAGATGTATTATCCATTCTTAGCAGAATTTCGCAGTTATACAATGAAGGAGCAAAACATTTAAGTGCAAAGAAAGCCGCTAGTAATTCAAGGTAATTGATACTATAATGTTTCTCATGTCGATTCCAGAAACCTTGGCTACTAGATCCTTGACAGTGAGCTCCCCAGTCAGTTAATGAAGCATCTGAAGAAATTTCTAGGGCGAATTTAAGAATTCTAATAGGGTTGCACCCTGTCTGTGAGTTTTCTTTCCACCAGAGTAAGTCATCAGACATGGCTTTATTTATATAAATCTTTCCTTCATAATCATTGTCATTTAGGAGTAGTGCCAAGAATTTCTGTCTTTCTAAACGTTTACAGTAAATTGAGCCGTATGCTGTCGCCGGACATGCCGCTGTTAGCACCCCGAGTACTCTAGCCACCTCACGAATTTTATAGCAACTTCCTATCTTGAATTGATTAGTCAGATTTGCGATCTGCAGTTTTTTCTTTTCAGTTAACTCTAGTCTAAATTCAGCAGAATTAATTATGAAACCTAAATATTTACATTTTTGGCTTGAAGTTAATGAGCTCTTCGAATAGTTTATTGCAAAACCTAAATGTTCCAGCAGGTTTATTGCTTCATTTATATTAGTTAGACACCTATTAAAGGATTTATGTATAAAGAGAAAATCGTCAATGTAAATTAGAGATAAAATGCCCATTGTTCTCAATTTATGCATGACTGGTTTCATAATTTTTGTATAAATGTACGGACTTGTAGATAGTCCAAAGGGTAGACAAGTAAATTGGAACAGTTTGTTCTTGAATTTGAATCGTAAATATTTTCTGTGTTTATATGTATTGGGACAAGAAAATATGCGTCCTTTAAATCAAGGGAGCACATATATGCCCCCTGAGTTAATAAGCTTTTAACTGAACAAATGTCCTCCATTTTAAAATGACAGGTATCTATAAATTCGTTTAACTTTTTTAGGTTAATAATAAACCTGCTAGAACCATCAGATTCCGGAACCAGAAAATAAGAAGAGACAAACTGTCCTTCGCAATCTTCACATTCTTCAACTGCATTTTTGGACATTAAATTGTTGATCTCCAGAGCAATTTTTACCTGATCTGATTCTGACCAGACAAAATCCTTAGATGATTTGTCTTGGCGAGGAGTTTCTCTGAAAGGAATCTTATATCCTTTCAAGCAGTTAAAAATATATTTGTCAGTAGTGATCTCTTTCCAATGGTCGATGAAAAGTCTAAGACGACCTGCTTGGATTCTTACCTCCTTTACTTCTTCGTCGACGTCGATTGGCTTGACGTTCGACTCGAGGGTTTTGATGCACCTTGGCTTGTTCTTTGGCTCCGTGGCTTGAATTTGATTGTTGATCGTCTCGGATACGTCCCCACCTGCCTGTACCTGGCAGGTGGGTATTTCAAGTTTCCCTGATTTCGTGATTTATATGTCGATACTTTTGGTTTATCTTGGGCTCTGATTTTTGCACACGCCTTTCCGATTGCCTGAACTTCTTTAACCTGTTCGGCAAATTTGTTTCCATACAGCCATTCATCCGATGTAGTAGCCTCAATTGTGGGTTTAACGCCCTTATTTAGCAAAGGAGTGATAAAAGATTTTCTGGCCACAGATTGCTGATAAAAAACGTCAGACAATAACTTTCCAGCATCACAAAGATATTTTGTGAGCATTCCCTGATCAATGCCGTCATCGGGATCATCGAGAATTAATGAAACTGCAGCAGCCAGAGCTGATATTGCAGAATCTACACAGTTTTGTGTCTCAAGAAAATGATGGTCTCTTTTAATAGTAATCTCGGACAAAATTGGAACGATTTCCAAATTAACCTTGGGAGCCTCAGAATATAATTCTTGTTTCCTTGGATACTTTTGTAGGATAGCTTTCTTGTTTTCCTCCGGAAAACCTTCCTGCATCCATTTCTCCCATCTGCGTTTGAGCTCTGGATGGAACTTGATTGTCAATTCTTTATTTGCATTGGGATCGTCCCCCAATAAATCCAATATATCCTCGGGAATGACCGACTCATCAGTTATCTCATCAACAGATGAATTTTCTATGTGCTCAGATGGAATCTGCTCTACTGAGGAAACAGTTTGACTATCCAGGATTTCTTTGTTTTCAGTAATATCTGAAAAAGGAACACAGAAAAAAGGAAGATAGGAGGGTAAACATATTTTTGAATAAAAAAAATATGTCATTTATCGTGTGGCTTATTGCCAGTGGCATTCGTGTGAAATTGCCACTCCATTCGTTCTGTACATCCTGAAATTGTCGTTGTCGTGTGGACATGACATAAGTTTGACATTCGTTTGGAATTGTCTAACTTCATAACCAAGCTTCGTAAACAAAACTTGTAAGCTGTGAATGTATGTTCTTATTGAACTTCTTTCACAGATATTTTTTTTTTTT